GTGTGATTGTCTAAAAATTAAATTTGTTTACCATATTCGTTCTAAATTATATTTTAATTTTAACTTAAAGTTTTTTCTTTTTCACAGATAACTAATATTTTCTCTTACTGTTCTTATCTTTTCAGATTGGTGACTGCCTACGTTTGGATTAACCGAACGGTAAGATTGAGACCTGATATTTTCTTTTTCTGTAGGGGTACCCTCAACTAGGTCCACACTTTGGTCAGATTGTTGGATACGATATTATTTCAAATGCATTTAGATGTGTTTGATCGTGTCTTCCCGCTTCCAGACTCTAACGTCGTAAATCGATGACTGACAGCTCTGCGACCTTGTGTACAACACTCTTCTGCCTTGTGCCATAGTTGCGTATGGGAATATAAAGGAAGAGTGCACAAATGGTCAAGGACAGTCACAACGTGACTGCTCAGGAATCGTAGACATATGGTTAGAGTCGGTAAATCTGGGATGCTTCCGTTCGTAATCCAGCGAATTCTTTCTGACCACTGCTGCTGGTGTCTAGACGAGTGGCCTCCTATGGTTACATGAAAAAATTTTCAATGGTCTTAATGTTCGAAAAGACGACTAGAGAATTTACTTAACTTGGATATCTAATTCACAACAGGTAAGTAGATATAGAAATGCTAATAATTTAATAAGAAAAATATTAATAATTTCCTTTTTTATCTTTCCAGACATTATTTACCTACAGGCGATTTAATTTGCCTCTCCTGTGAAACCAGGAAATTATATTTGATGGTAAGTTCGAGTAATCCTGTTCTCCTTTTTTCTCCAACAGGTGTACCATCGACTAGACCTTCATCTTTTGTCAGAATGTCGGATACGATGGTTTGCAAATGCCCTTAGGTGTATTGGTTCTTTTTGTCTTCTGGCTTCCAGACTCTAGTGTCGTAAGTCGGGTGAAGGACGGATCTGCGACCTCGTGTACAACAGTTCCCTGGCCCGTGCCAAAGAGCGAACTGCTACTGCTTCACCGCGAAAGGGGAATTGCACTAATGGTCAAAGACAGTCACCAGGTGACTGCTCCGGATGCGCAGACATCAACTAGAGTCGGTAAACCCAGAGTGCTTTAATTCGTACTCTGACTTCACAATTCTGACATCTGCTGTTAGAGTCTAGAAGATTGGACGCCTGTTCGGATGAAAAAAAACAGGGTTCCGAACTGCATCAGTGAATATTCCAGCCGAGACTTGTGGTGGGACTACGGTCGGCGCTTCAGAAATGAACGTAAGTTGTAGTTTTAATTCTATTTCGTAGTTTTCGTAATTTTGCTCTGGAAAATGAGAAAAATTATGAGAACACTATCTATTTTAAACTTAAATTTTGTAATTTATAACCAAAATTTAGCAAAAAAAACTTTGTAAGTATGGCTTGAGATGGACATTTCAAATTTAATTTTATTTTCATGTTAGTCATTTTTATTCGATTTTTTTCTATTTTGCCAATAATCCTACATAATGATATTTCACTAATTCATATTTTTTTCTCTTTATGAAAAAAAAACTGGAGAAATGGGTTTCAACCTTTACCCATACACAACTACACATCACTCAGGAAGGAAAAGCTGTCCTACAGCTTGTTAAAAAATTTGGGAATACTAAAAGGACATTTCGTAAGTTGTAATTCAGGTTAGTCCGCTTAATATTATATCTTAAATAATCCTAATAAAATTTGTATTTTTTTTTTTTTCAATTCAGGTACTACTTCAACTAAATTCAATTGGACCTTCCGGAACTCTTTGAAAATTCAGGTGAGTATTGGAAAAATTTAAACTTAAGGTAACTTTAAGTTAAGTTAAGATAGAATTAAGAGTTACATTTTACATATTTTCCGTGCATACGTTGCGGATTAGTATATCATTTTGAGATCTCCGCTTCATTTTAAAATTCAACTTAAATTAACTGAACAAAAAAAAAATTTCTATCCTCATATATATGCTTTGGACTTCGGTCGCTATATATATGTAAAAAGAAAAAAAAAATAATTAGAAGAAAAAATTAAATTCTTCAATTCCTAAGCATTTATCGCTTCAAATCTTTAGCGTGAAAAATGCCAATGGGATGCCCTTTAAGATCTTCTACTTCGTAAAGGCATTTCCCAACTGGCTTAACAATGCGACACTTGAAAAATTTTTTATCAAGTTTAGCATTATAATTATTTTTAAAATCACTTTGCCTGAAACTTCTTCGGAAAACTTCTTGCCCTGGGATGAACTTGACCTGACGACTTCTAAGATTATAAGATTTTTCATTTCTCAAGTATGCCTGGTGCAGACTATTTCTTATCTTTTCTCGAATAAGATTCTGTTTTACCGAGTTTGGAATGAGTGTCGTCTCGGGGTCATTAAGAAGTTCATCGCGGGTGTCGATTGAATGGACCTCAGCTTTAGTCTTTCCCAAGCCATACTTGGTAAAGCAAGGAAATTTGTCCTTCACTGTTTGCAAACGAACTCGTTGCTCCTCGGACAAAGAATGGCTGTTAACATCACTGATCTCAGGCTCACCACAGAGACTCACTTCCTGGAGTGACAAACCGTCCACCTGAGCAAACATTTGGAAACGTTTCATGAAGTCTACCCCCAGAAACAACTCACGACTCAGAGAAGGAACAAGATAGAATATGATAGAATGCTCCTGCTTTCTAAATTTTACAATAGTCGTCACCCTGCCAACTATTTTATGTGGGCTTCCATCAGCGGTTTTAATAAAAGAATGGAAATGCTTAATTTCCAATCCCGCTCTCTCCACAAAGCTAAGGCAATTTTTCCCCAGACAGGAAACGGAGGCTCCGCTATCTAGCAATCCCTCTATCTCTTCACCATTTATATGTAATTTTGTATATAGCCGATTATCTTCCCCTTCAAATATGGTAGCCGAGGCTATTTCCTGCCGAATGCGTCTTCTTCTCTTATATCGTTCTCTAGCCTTTTTAATTTTATTGGAAACTTGACCAAAAATTCTTTCTCTCGCCTCGCAATATTCTCTTATTCGGATATGAAGCGGTTTCAACTCTCTCAATCTCGGTTTTACTTCTAACTTTATATTTTCTCTCTCTTCATTCTTTAAAATCGAAACTTTAATACTGGAACTACTACTACTCTGCTCTGGGCTTAAACTGGGGTTGACCTCACCTGCCCAGACTGAGGTGGGTTCCTGTGCCGGTTTCCCTGACACTTCGGACAATCGGGGACGGTGACACCTTCTTGGCCACACCGATAGCAGAAAATCTTTCGAGGCTCCCGGCACTCCATCCAGCTATGACCCATAACACCGCAGTTCCAACATTTATATTTGGATGTCAGGGTCACGGCATCAACTTCAATTTCCCCTCGGGGTTCCTCTTCCATCTGCCATTCAAGCTCATGCACTTTCTGTGGTGTGTTGTATCGTTGCTGTCTTTGGGTCCATACAAGATTTTCGGCTTTCTTCACCTGCCTATAAAAATCACCCAAGCTATTTATCTGAGCCGAGAAGATCATTTGGGCTAGAGACGGCTTAAGGTTGCCTCTCATTATTTCCACTATCTCGTGCTCCCTGTATGGCGACTTTTGCTGTGTCCGTAGCCGCAGTACATCATTATAAAAATCTTCAAAATTCTCGTGTGGTAGTTGACGCCGATTTAAAATCTGCATCTGAAGTTGAAATTCATTTTCAAATCTTTGGTATTGCGCCAACAAAGCACTTTCTAACTCCTTCCATGTGCGAAACTGGACCAATTTCCGGTGGTTCCAATACCAATCGAGAGCTGGCTTTTCCAAAAGTTGGTGAAATTTGGTAATCAATACCTCATCTGGGCAATTATAATCCTTTTTAAGTTCACCCACTCTGAAAATAAATTCTTGGACGCTCATGGTTTTGTCCGTCCCATCAAAAGATACTCCCCATTTTGCCAAATTAAAACGCCCAGAGATTTCTGAGACAATACTGCTTGGATGTGGACTGGTATGGGTCTCGTGTGGCTCTGTTCGCATGCCTCTGCTGTACATATTAGGCAACCTCTCGGTCGGCAGTATTGTGTGAGCTTGGACTCCGGCGTCTGGTGGTGGTACCGATAAGCTGGTTGGTGGTTGTGCTGGTGCACCACTTGATGTGAACCCTGGTGGCGGTTGGTTAAACGGACCAAGTGACAACGGTCTAGGATCGTGAATCGGTGGTGGATTTACTCGCTCCGGATATGGTAGTGGGTAACCCCTTGCTAAATTAGGCTGCTGAGACGTTAAGCCTGACGCCAATGCATGTGAGGACAGAATGACTGACTCCAAGGATGTCCGCGCTGGTGCATGTGGTGCCGCTGCTGGCATCGCCAAGCCGGCTTGAGAAAATAACTGATTAGTGGCGTCATTGTCCCCCAACAACGAACGCTTGGTCGCTTCAGCAATTCTGGGTATCAGAACTCTCAATCTTTCTTCTTCCTGTTGACGGTATTGCAATTGGGACAGGGCGATGGCAGAATTAATAATTTCCCTGACTCCTGCGCTGACTGCTGGATCTGCTGGCGGAACAACTGGTCTATTCTGCAACCCGGTCAAAACACTATAGTTTGGTGAGGCCACGCTTCCATGTGACCAAAAAGACGTGTTAAACGAGTTAGCGGCCTCTTGCATGCTTAATGGAACTGGTGGCGGTGCCGATGAATTGGACATTGATGATGAAATACCTTGAGCTGGGACGTTCCCATGTGCTAAATGTGCAATATGAGAAGCAATGGGACCACTATGCGCGGCAGTTGTAACCTGCTGTGCGTTAGAAGGTGCGCTGTGAACCGCGGTAACAACACTGCTTACGGCTGTAGCTTCGGAAGTGGTTACTACCCCATTTTGCCCTAGAATCGGTCTACCTGCCAAACCTGCACTCGCAGCTCTAGTAAGAGGCATATTGCTTTTTGATACAACCAAATTAGTAAACAAAAAAATTCAGAAAAAGCGATAAAAAATCAAAAAGAAATCTGCCAAAAGAATTTGCTCGAAAGTAAACCACACTGTGGTTTCAATTAAAGAAAAAATAAAATAAAACAATTGTGGTAAGTAAAATAAAAAAATCCATTCAATGTAATTCAGTTCTTTCACAATTAATTCACACTTTTCACTTTTACAGGTTATTCTGTACGGCATACAAATTCTATTATCCGGCAGAATAATTTTGATGAAAAAAAAACTGGAAAAATTCAAATAATGTTAGGTGGTGGATTTCTGGTCAAAATAGTGGTAAGTCAAGGTCAAATAAACTGTTTCTGTATGAATTTTAAACTGTTTCACTTTTTTGCAGGGATTTGGTGAGTTACACTGGCAAAACTGGAATTGAAATGGACTAAAAACGGACTGAAAAATTAAAATGGAATATGGAATAGGCGACTTGCACAGACATCCCTTAAGAGGTTCCAGACAATACGACCAATGGTCGGAAGCCAAAATTGTCGCAGGACCGATGGAAACTCTGGGTGAGTCTGTGATCAGCTACCAAATTCCGGGTACTGAAATTAAACATAGACGGACAGAAACTACAATCTAAAAAAAACAAATTCGTTTGAGACTAGCAATTCTCATTTGCATAGCAGCGCGTCACCTGCCTTCTTATAGGCTGCTTGGACGGGTCTCCACAAATGAGAACTGATAAACCAGACGAATTTCTTCAATGATATTACTTTAAGAAATCTGAAATTTTAACTTTACTAAAATATGAAATTTTATTAAAATGCTAGTGCAATTAGAAGTATTAAACTAGAACGACTAAGCCACTAGAAAAAAACTAAAAATCATATTTTTCCAAATATAAATGATGTTTACCCGAGTCTTCGATGAAGCAACGCGTCAGGACTCTTAATTAAACCTAGACGGGACTCATTAAAGATTCACGGTAAACACATTTATTCACTACGACTAACAATAATTAAAACTAACATGTCTCAGGCCCCACGTTCTGGGCGCCATTTTGTAACAACCGTGTTCAAGAAAAACGAAATGAAATCGCTGTGTTGATCATCAAGTGGCGTTGCCGGTATGCTGGCGTTTAGCGCGGCTATGGCTCGTCGGATTGGGGGTTGGTTCTTGCCACTTGCAGATCTTTTCGGTTGAACAAACAAATAAAATCATACCGGACTTCAAACTAAATTAAAAAAATGGGTAAAAAGAAGCCTGAAACATGTTAACACCAAAATTAAAAAGAAGAAAACGTTCACCTAACTACAACCAAATCCCGAAATAACATTAGTTTTTTTTACAGAAACAGTGCTCCTGGCGGCTGACCAGCCAGGAGATAGCCCTCCCTCCGAGAACACCTCTCGCCATGACGTCTACTCATACTGGACGTCCCAGATCTGACCCTTGACTTACCACATTTTATATCATTACCACTACCTTTTAAAAAGGGCTTTAAGCCAAGGACATATTTGTCTTTTCTGTATGAAATTGGTACATTTTATTTAAACTATTTAAATACCCAAATAACAATTCAAAAAAAATTACATGCTAACTTTAACGATTGCGTTCAAATTTAATAATGAATTCAATTCAATGAACAAGTACAATTTTGCCAAAAATTACAAAAAAAAAACTTTACTTTTTCTTCTTTTAGACTGCGATTTCTGATGACAAAAATTAGGGTGCAATAATGGCGGCTTGCAATTGTGGTTCTTCCCAACAAGTATGTACGTAAGTATTGTTTTAAAGTTTAGCTTTTTTAATTATATTCCACGTTAAATTTTTTTATTAATTATTTCTTTCATTTAATTTCAGGAAAGGCAACCAAAGGTGGAGTGTCGATAGCACTTAAAATCGACGAACAGATTACAAGCCTGGTTACCTAACCTTGAATAGAGCTCTGTTCAACGTCGTGTACCTACAGACTAACCAAAAGGTGATTAAAATTTAAAATTTACTTCATTTGTTTCCCCTTCTAACTCATATTTCTCCTTTTTTTACAGAAAAAACCGCGGAATTTAATTATGATGCTTCGTCGTCCGTCTGTCTGTCCGAGGTTTCTTGTATAAAATGTCGGTTGGGAATACCAAGCCACGCTGGGTTAGCTATGGCGCAAAATCAGCGGCTCCCTCGATGGATTGGATGGGCGATGGTGTGGCTTGTAGGCTCCAACTCTTCATGAATTTTTAGGTTTAAGATTTATTTTCTTGCTTTAGATTTTTAGTAAATTGTTTTGGTTTTTTCTTTCTTTAAACTTTGTTAAATTATTTCCAAAATTTAATTTTAAAAAAAAGTTCAATTTACTTTTAACTTTCAATTTTTGTGAAAACTATTTGTTTAGTTATAAGTTTTCTTTCAACTTTTAGCCTTTTGTTTTTAAATTTTGCTTAATTATTTTAAGGCTTCCAATTTTGTTAAAAAAGTTTGTATTTCGTGCTGTTTGTATATGTGTTTCAAATAAATAAAAACATTGAATTCACTTCTCAGCGAGTGGTTCATCACCAAAAACTTTGTCGGCTTTTTTTCTTCGCTGGTTACAGGGAGCCACACATCCAATCTTCTTCGCAGGTAAATCAAAAAGGACAGATTTTTCTTAGAATTCTTGCCAGGAAATTCTGGCTGCCATTTTCCTCGTTTAATTTTTCCATTTTCTTTTTACATTATTCCCTAATATTGACATTTAAGTAATTGGAATGATCAGCTGTCTCCTAGTAATGGTTGGCAACATTTTTCTTCTTCTTCTTCTAGCTATCAATTATTTTCAGGGTTACCCCTTTTAAAGGCGCACACCACAAGGACAAAAAATATATTTTTCAATGAAAACCAAACGAGTTTTTTTTTAAGAATATTTTTTATAGCATATCCAAACGTGCGTTTTTTCTTTCTAAGAATAACTAAACATTATTTGTTTACCTTTTTTCCAGGATCCAGCAATCATTCATTTTTGAAATATGTTTTTTCCAAAACCACATCATGTGTATGCTTTAACGATTTTTTTTCAAGAACCACATAAGAATGAACTTTTCAAATATTTATTAAAAATGCATTTTAAAATGGTGTCCTTTAAAAGGCCCCACATTTCAACAGTTACCAAAAGTTTCCTCATAAAACCCCAGAGAAACCCTTCGTTCCCCTAAGATATTTAGCATTTTCTCATTTCCTTTCTAAGTACCAACTCCCGCCTCCTCCTCCTCTTCTTTTTGATTAAATATCCTTTAATTGAGTTGGTTAAGACATTTTCCAGAAACGCAAAGGAGGTGGGGTTGCTTTCTTTACAATTCATTATTATTTCAAATTAAGATTTTCACCCTATCCTCCCTCCCACACTCGCTCTCCTACTGGTGCGTACGGTGTTTTAATGAAAATGCTTGGTTTTTGTTCTGCCAAAGACAACAATGGGGCGAACAGCGGGAAACGCCAGGAGAAAAAAAAACTATTTTCACTTTCACGTTTTTTTTTTTCTCTGCCGGCAGCATTTATTTAATTCAACATTAACACGTCGATTGGCAAACTAAGAAATCAACTTGAAATAATCTACCAGCTGCAAGGACGACGACGACGACAATGCAACGCCGTGACGTGACGTGTCATGGGCTAGGATTCATTCGCTCACTCCTTCCGTGAAAGCCTGAACAAACAATGAAACGTGTCTACATTTCCGTTCTGTTTGTCAAAGTTTTTTTTTTCGTTTTGTTTTGTTTTTTATTCTCTTTTCTTTCAATTTTAGATCCTTTGGTTTACTTTGCCAGCAGAGAGGTTGTTGTTGCTGCTGTTGTCATAGTTGGTATAGTTGTTGTCGTTGGCACACTCATCGCTGCATTGTGAAATGTCAGCTTTTGTTTCAAGTGTTTGAAAACGTTTAGCGTTACAAACTTGCCGTTCCTCTTCAGCCAATGTGTGTGCGGTTGTGTGTGTGTGTGTGTTTGGGGTATCCAGCTCTTATGCCAACCGAAATGGATACATATGTTTGTTTGTGTATATATGTGTATAGGTGAATATGTATGGCATTTCCATGGTTTAGTTTTCATCTGCGGTTGTAAGGAATAGACGACGATAAATTCCTCTCATTGTGGCAAACCCGATGGCGGAATGGCGATGTTGGATGGGTGGAGGGCAGCATGTTGTATGCGTGTTGTGTTACAACACAACACAACACAACATTTAATTAGGATATGGTTGGACTTGCCTGCCAGCAGAGGATGTTGCTGTCATGCAATGGAAATCAATACCGGAACATGTTCAAGGATAACTTTGTAATTCTTCTCGATTGCGTTAACCAAGGTGTTTGGTTGGAGGATCCAACAGAGATTGGGAAATCCAAAGAAGTTAATGAACCGGAAAACTATTACTTTGAAGAGGATAATTTTAAGGGACCAAACGCGTGAGTTTCGCAATGATTATATTTTTCAAGGACCAACAAACGAAAAATATTTTTTTCAAGGACATGGATTTTTTTTAAAAATATTTTATTCTCAAGGACGAAAATATTTTTTTTTTCTCAATGAACAAAAAACGTTGAGTTATTTAATGATTATTTTTTTTTTTTCAAGAACCAACAAACGTAGATTTTTTCGAATATATTTTTCTCAAGGACGTGGATTTATTGAAATTTTTTTTTTCTCAAGGACGTGGTTTTATTATTTTTTTTTTTTTCTCAAGGACGGGGATTTATTGAAAACAAATGTTTTTCTCAAGGACGTGGATTTATTCAAAACAATTTTTTTTTTCTCAAGGACGTGGATTTATTGAAAACAATTTTTTTTCAAGGACGTGGATTTATTAAAAACAAATTTTTTTCTCAAGGACGTGGATTTATTGAAAACATTTTTTTTCTCAAGGACGTGGATTTATTGAATTTTTTTTTTTTTTTGCTCAAGGACGTGGATTTATTGAATTTTTTTTTGCTCAAGGACGTGGATTTATTGAAAACAATTTTTTTTATCGAGAAACAAAAAACGTTGATTTATTAGCAAATATTTTGATCAAAGACCAAAAAACGTGGATTTATTAGCAAATATTTTGATCAAAGACCAAAAAACGTGGATTTATTGAGAAAAATTTTTGTCAAGGTTCAAAAAAGTGGATTTTCAAGGAATATTTTTTTTTAAGAACCAAGAAAAGAGGATTTAAAAAAAATTATTTCCAAGGAACAATAACTTTAGATTATTTCAATTATATTTATTTTAAGGATTCTTTGAGGAGTATTTTTTGGTAGGACCAAAAACCTTGGATTTTTCTCTCAAGGACTTGGATTTATTGAAAAATATTATTTTTGTCAAAGACCAAAAAACGTAGATTTATTGGCAAATATATTTCTCAAGGATCAACAAATATGAAATTTTCAAAGAATATTGTTTTCAAGGATCAACAAACGGAGACTTCTTAAGAATATTTTATTAAGAATTTGGATTTATTGACAAATGTGTTTTTTTAAGGACCTACTATTTCTTTAAACCAAACAAAAGGATGTTTTTTGAGGACCAACCAAATGTGATTCTTAAGGATATATTTTAAGGGTACTGTTTTAAGGACCAACCAAACTTGGATTTCTTATAGAAAATGTTTTTCAAGGACCAACAAATCGTGAATTTTTCGAAGGATATTTTTTAAGTAACCTACCGACAGTTTATTTTTTTAAATTATATTTTTCTTGGATCAACCAGGCGTGGATTTTTAAGAGGATATATTTTCAGGGACCAACAAAATGTATATTTTTTAAAGAATGAATCTTCAAGGACTAACAAAAAGTGGATTTTTAAGGGATGTATTTTCAAGGACCAACCAAACGAGAGTTTGTTAAATCATATGTTTTCTAGAATCAACCAAACGTGTATATTTTAAACAATACTTTTCATGGAGTTTCATGGAGCATTGTTTAGTTTTTTTTCAAGGGCCAACCAAACATGGATTTCTTAAACAATAGTTTGTCAAGGACCAACAAAATGTGGATTTTTGAAAGATAATTTTTCAGTGACCAACCGAATGTGGATTTTGTAAAGCATAGCGTGGATTTTAAAGGATAAATTTTCTAAGACCAACCTCAAGGAACAACCAAACCATCCAAATAAACGTGGATTTTTTAAAGAATATTTTTTTAAGGATTTTTCAATAAAGAATATTTTTTAAGTGCCAATCAATCGTGGAATTAAAAAAATATATTTTTTTAAAAAAACTACCAATCGTGGATTTTTAAAAAATATTTTTCAAAGACCAACCAAACGTTGAATTTTAGGAAAATATTTTCTCAAAGTTCTTGATTTAAAAAAAAATTATTTTTTTCAAAGCCCATCCAAACGTGGATTTAAAAAAAAATTCAATGCCCAACCAAACGTGGATTTAAAAAAAATTTCAAAGCCCAACCAAACGTGTATTTTTAAATAAATATTTTTTTCAAAGCCCAACCAAACGTGGATTTCAAAAAAATTTAAACGTGGATTTTTAAAAAACTATTTTTTCAAAGCCCAACCAAACGTGGATTTTCAAAAAAATATGAACATGGATTTTTAAGACAATATTTTTTCAAAGCCCAACCAAACGTGGATTTAAAAAAAAATATATTTTTTTTTCTAAGTCCAACCAAACGTGAATTTAAAAAAAAATATTTTTTCAAAGCCCAACCAAACGTGAATTTAAAAAAAATCAAATCCCAACTAAACGTGTATTTTTAAATAAATATTTTTTCAAAGCGCAACCAAACTGGATTTAAAAAAAAAAATATTTTTTTTTTTCAAAGCCCGACCAAACTGGATTTAAAAAATATTTTTTTAAAGCCCAACCAAACATGGAG